CCTCAGCACCACATAAGCAAAAAGAAAAAAGCCGGAAGTGGCACTGTGGCTCAAGTGGTAGAGCGCTAGCCTTGAGCTGAAGAGCTGAGGGACAACGTCCAGGCCCAGAGTTCAGGCCCCACGACCAGACCCCCAAAAAAATTAAAAGAAAAAAAAGAATTGTGTCTCAAAATGGTAGAGCACTAGCCTTGAGCTGAAAAGCTCAGAGACAGTACTCAGGCTCTGACTTCAAGTTCCACAATCAACAAAATATAAGAAATCAAAATAAAAAACAGATTTAAGAGCAATACACACGGAAATGCTTTGAGATCCTGATAAATCTCAATGAAAGCAAAAATTTCCTTCTTTGAAAATAGATTTGATATTTGGAGATACGTTGAAGAAAGATTTCTTGCTCAAGTGAGGAATGCCAACTGTGAACAAGAAAGCCAAGCAAGACTGTTCAAGCCTGGGTAGTGACACAAAATAAATTAAAAAAACAAAAAAAGGATAGTTGCACACATGTTCAGGCACCCACCTAATAAACCTAATAAAGTAATGAAGCCACTCTTACGTTGCTTATAAACTTTCAGTGCAACTCCAAAACTAACATTGATTCAACAATTCTAGTCCTCCTCCAAACTGTTTTGGAAAGTATCAGAAGACTTTCTTTTTTTTTCTTTTGGGTCCGGTGGTGGGGCCTGAACTCTGGGCCTGGGCGCTGTCCCTCAGATCTTCAGCTCAAGGCTAGTGCTCTACCACTTGAGCCACAGCGCCACTTCCGGCTTTTTTCTTTTTGCTTATGTGGTGCTGAGGAATAGAACCCAGGGCCTCATGCATGCAAGGCAAGTACTCTACCTCTGAGCCACCTTCCCAGCCCCCTCAGAAGACTTTCTTAAAGAACCTTTTTTGTTCATGTTGATTGTGGGGCTTGAACTCAGGGCCTGTTCCTGAGCTTTTGTGATTCAGGCTAGTGCTCTATCACTTGGAGCGACAGCTCTACTTCCAGTTTTTAGGTGGGTAATTGGAGATGAGAGTTTCACAGACTTTCCTGTCTGGGCTGGTGTCAAACCATAATCCTTAGGTCTCAGCCTCCTGATGAATTAGGAGACAGGCGTCAGCCTATCTCTGTTAAAGAAATTTTTTAGTAAGAAACTCTGAATTGCCAGGTACTGGTAGCTGTAAGCCTAAGTCAGGAGGTTGAGATCTGAGGATTGTGGTGGAAAGCCAGCCCAGGCATGAAAGTCTGTGAGACTCATTTTGATTAAGCAACAACAACAAAAAAAGTAAAAATGAAGCTGTGGCTCACGTGGAAAAATGCTAGCCTTGAAAGAAAAAAAAAAGCCTCAGGGACAGTACCTAGGCCTTGAGTTCAAACCCCATGACTAGCACCAAAATAATAATAATAGCAGTAACAACAACAATAATAGACAAATTTGGAGCCAGTTTTATCCTCTGATCTCCTTAGTCTCTGCAGCCTCATGGAATGGCTTAGGAAAATCCCAAGATCTGTTCTCAAACATCTAGCATTTCAGATAAATTGTTACTGTTTGCCCAATGAAATAACACACAGCTCCAGCCATACTAATTTATTTCCACATGTGCATGTCATTCGCCACCTCTCAGGGGCCTCTGATGAAATCTCCCCTCTCAGCTGCACTCTGAGCCCTTCCAAACACAACAGCCCAGCTCATCTCTCCTTCACGGTGTGCCATGATCTATGGGATGTGATCTGTCTGGTAGATAGATGGTAGGTAGCTAAGGAATGTTTGCTGAGCATGTGACTAGGGACAACACAAGATATCCATTCATAAGCATCTCTTTAAGAGTCAGATGTACGTCAGGGTATTAAATCAATTTTTAAAAGATTCTTTGCTTTAGATCAGGTGGTTCAATATAAAAACCTGGACCTTAGCTACTCAGGGTATTGGATTAATGTCTTCTTTTTCTTTTTTTTTTAATTGTGAAAATACTGTACAGAGGGGTTACAATTACATGGGCAAGATAGTGAGTACATTTCTTATCGAGCATTGTAGCCTCCTCCTTTGTTTACCCTTCCCATCCCTTCCCAGCCTCCCCCCGCCCCCCAACCCAATCCTTCTTATTTTTCTTTATAGTTTTACTTTCTAAGTGCTCAGGAAGGAATAGGTATGACTAATTCTGAGCAATATTGCTCAGATTGCTGTTATAGGAATCAGTATATTTCTCTAGCCTGGTTATCTCCAGATTGGAGAATAGGGCTCTGAATCCCTGGGACCCTTCCCATTTGCCCTCTTTGGCTTTAGGCCAAGGAATGTTATGAAAACCCTTAGTACTATCCACATCCATGTGAGTGGTTCCAGTACTAAACTCCCCTCAAACTGCTCTAATTTGAGTTAGCCATCTGTCTCAGCTGAGGCCCTGACACACAGACCCCAACACCTGATAGGAAGAGGCAGAGCTGGTAGCTGACTTCCTTACTCACTTCTTTTTTTTTTTTTTGTGGGGTCCGGTTGTGGAGCCTGAACTCTGGGCCTGGGCGCTGTCCCTCAGCTCTTCAGTTCAAGGCTAGCACTCTACCACTTGAGCCACAGCACCACTTCCGGCTTTTTTTGTTTTGCTTATGTGGTGCTGAGGAATCGAACCCAGGGCCTCTGGCATGCAAGGCAAGCGCTCTACAACTGAGCCACCTTCCCAACCCCCCCCCCTTTTTTTTTTGTGGGGCTTGAACTTTGGGCCTGGGCGCTGTCCCTCAGCTCTTCAGCTCAAGGTGAGTGCTCTACCACTTGAGCCACAGCGCCTCTTCCGGTTTTCTAGTGGTTTTATTGGAGGTAAAGCGTCTCACGGACTTTCCTGCCCAGGCTGGCTTTGAACCGTGAACCTCAGATCTCAGCCCCCTGAGTCGCTAGGATTACAGGCGTGAGCCACCAGCACCCAGCCTTACTTCTTCAAAGTTCTTTTTCTCCACATCAGCAGGAATCACATTTTCCCGATGTTTGGGTATATTGTTAGGAAATCTCTCCAGCATCTTAGTAGATGCAGACAGTGGGGTTTCATGGTGTCCTGTGAAAGGAAACAAACCTTTAATGAGAAAAATTTCTCAAGTAGTAGTCACACTCAACACTACACTTGGGCAAGTTGCTACCCACTGAGGGGTCCTTTCCACAAGGAAAACTTTCACATCCATAGAGGGAAAAAATGAGACGCAGTTACCACAAAATTCTCCATAAAACAGACATTTTATAACTTGATAGCAAAATATAGTATTCTGAGTCTGATAATGAGAACAAAGACACAAGTCTTTGCCATGAGTTGAGATCAGGATGTTTCAGGTAACAGTCCAAAGCGAGGTTCATATGAATGCATGTGTCCAGCTCACAGGTGAAGCTTTGTGACGCTGCATTCAAAGGCCAAGGAGTTCTCTTTCCAATGCTTTTCCAGTAACATCACCCTATTAATGCTGCCAAGCTCCCTTCCCAGCATTTTAACTACTTGGGGGAGTTTTATTTATCCTCTTATCTACTTGAGAATTGTGTAAGAGAACAGAGGAAATAGCTGCTGGCTGGATGGTAGGGGATAGAGGAATATTATAGCTTTCTCAATATTCACTCATGATTCCGCACACAGTATTTCAAGACTACCCAGTATTCATTATGTAGTGATTTTGTATCAATTGTGTACAAATTACCACAAGAGGGTCAAAGGTGAATAAAGTAAGGAATTGGGATTTCATATCATATGACTTGACAATCTGTTTAGCTCTAAAGTTAAATTATTCTACATGCAGCCTAAGAGGCCTTTCTCACTCAGTGCATCAGCAACCTGATAAGCTTTTTTTTTTTTTGGCAATAGTATGGCTTGAACATAGGGCCTTGTTGCCTCTTCCTTTAGTTTTCCCCCATCACCCCTGCCCTCCCACCTCAAGAAATTCTTTTTGCCTGCGCTACCCTCAAACTGGTCTGTGTCCCCAGGAGCTAGGATTACAGGCTTGAGCCACACCTCCAGTCCCCATGGTTTCCTTTTTGTTCTCTCACTGGGATCTCCTCTCACTCTGGTTCTGGTCTCTCTCACTTTATGATCATTTCCACTGTACTCCCAAATCCATGATCTCCTTATGATCCCTATGATCTATGGTATCTCTATATAGAGATTACCTGACTTGTGTCAAGTGAGAACCAACAGGGACTAGTTCAAGCTTGTTATTTTCTGATCTGGAAAAACCTTCTTTAATCCCTCACCTGACCTCAATCTCTCTAGGTCAGTTCTCTATTTACAATATGCTATCCTTTTGTAAGAAAGGGAAACTGAAATGTGCTTTGCTTGGGAGCGAAGTAGCCTTATCTGTGGCTCCCTGCTTCAGACCTCAGACTTAGACCTGTTGATGGGTGGTGCCAGGAATCTGAATGCAGCTAACCACAGGTAACAGAAGCTCACTACCAAGAGACAGATGACTGGGAAACACAGACTGTATAGACTTGTCCTTCCACATACTGCTCTGCTGCAGTGTCTGCCTGCCCTCTCTTCCAATAGCCACTCTCACTGCTTAGAGTCCTACCTCTCTGCAGGGCACCTATCAAGAAAAGACACCCAACTCCTTACAAACAAGCCTCTCCTGAAGCTGGCCTTTACTAGTATCTTATACCTTATAACCCTAACCATAGTGTTCTCCTAAACATTTTGGTATAAATAGTACCTGGTCTTTTGTGACTTATTTATCTATCAGCACCAATAGGTCCAGACTCTAGAGAAAAGCACATAGCCAGGCCCTGTTTTGGATCTCCTGCATTGGTTCCTCCAAAGGTGGTATGTGCTCCTTTGACAGAGAACTGGGCAACTCTGATAGCATAGAGGTCAAGGTCATAGCTTGGGAGAAACCACAGAATCTACTACCCAGACTCATTTAATCTTGGAGATGAATATGATATCATTAAGGTCTTTCAAAAAACTAAATCAAAGAACATACTTGGGTATGGTTGGGCTAAAAAGGAAGATGAAGGAAGTTGAATAATACTGAAATAAAATATTCGCAACTCTGAAAATAGAACAATGAAACCTAATGAAGTAATTTTTGGAAGGGAGACTGATAAAGGAGGATGAGATCAGCTGGAATAGTATAAACATGTGTAAAAATATACAATGAAATCCACTCACCCACACATATAACGAATATAAACTCATTTAAAGGGGAGAGCATATGTTAGTGTATAAGAAGTGATGAAGCTTGGTAGATGTAGACAGTGGAGGTTTCATAGTATTCTGCTGCCTTATTTTAAAATGACTGGCTATGGAGTTTGTCAAAAGGGATCTCAGGATTATAAGATTATTACTTAAATTATTTCTTTGTACGTTTCTTGGTTTTCTTACTTAGAAAAGCTTTTAGAGTGGCGCTGTAGCTCAAGTGGTAGAGCGCTGGCCTTGAGCTGAAGAGCTGAGGGACAGCGCCCAGGCCCAGAGTTCAAGCTCCACGACCGACAAAAAAAAAAAAAAAGAAAAGCTTTTAGGCCAGGTGCCAGTGGCTCATGCCTGTGATCCTAGCTACTCAGAAGGCTGAGATCTGAGGATCAAGGTTCAAAGCCACCCCAGGCAGGAAAGTCCATAAGACTTTTATCTCCAATAAGCCACCAGAAAACTGGAAGTGATGCTGTGGCTCAAATGGTAGAGCACTAGCCTTAAGCTGAAGAGCTGAGAGACAGCACCTAGGCCCAGAGTTCAAGCCTCACAATCAACCACACAAAAAAAAAAAAAGAAAGAAAGGAAGAGAGAAAGAAAGAAAGAAAAGCTATTTTAGGAAGTAGAGCTATGGCTCAAAGTGGTAGAGCACTAACTAGCCTTAAGCAAAAAAGCTCAGACACAGCACCGGGGCCCTGAGTTTAAGCCCTATACACGATAAAAAGGAAAAAAAAAGCTATTTTAAAGAGAGATCATTTTCTAACTCAGCCATCCTCATGGATCCTGACTTTTTTTTTAGGTTCCCACATTTTCTAATATTCTCACCCACATTTCTACAGTGTCATTTCTTAACCACTGGCAGGTATTTTATGTATCCTTAATTGGTTCATAAAACCCAGTAGCCTTGCAATTTTAATGGCCTCTGCCTAGTTAGCTACTTTTTATTTTCTCAGTATGGGTCTGTTCTTAACTATTTCTGTGAAAAAGAAAACAGAATCCTTTTATATCCCCTTTGTCTATTACTTGGTAAAAATACTAATAACCAAGATAAAAATGGTTGCAAGGAATCAGGAGAAACAAAGAATAGGAGAACAGGACCTGAACAGCCTGCAAACTAACAGGTCAGGGTTGAGGCACACCACTTCTCATCTTCAACTCTTAGGTACATACACTCCTGTCTAGACTCCCTACCTAGAAGGTCCTGCTGCTTCCTGAGCTCATGTTCCTCAAGCCACTTGCATCCCTGGGACAGAGCCAGAGCCCTGACCTCTGTCTGCAGATACCAAAAGGAAGAGGACAGGAAGATGAAACCATATCTACCTCAGGGCAATCTGTTATTCATTCCTACCTCCCTTCCGCCCTGCTCGGCTGTGACCCACCTCTGCTTCTCACCCTCTAGCTGGGAGGCAGCAGAATCCATGTATACGGGGGCTGGGAGCACAGGAAGGGTGGATAGCATTCAAGTATTCTCTAACCTGCTAATTACTTAGGACACTAGATAGGAACACAGTGCTCCTCATCTGTCTTTATTTGTCACAATTGCTGCCTTGCAGTGCCATTTCAACCACTTATCTCTGTGGCAGAGCTTCCAATTCAACCTCAGGGCCATTAGTGATGGCAGCAACAATGGGAAGAGAAAGGAAAAGGCGGGGGGCAGTGTGCAACTCAGGAGTAGAGCAAGTACTTGGCATATTGGTTTCATCCTCAATAGCAAAAAGAGATAGAATAAAGAAAGACAACAAGAGACACTCGCATACACTAGGAACCATCCTGTCCTAATTAGGGGCAGCTTCGGATTCTTCATGACTGTCAATCCCCCTGGGTCTTCAATCCTCTTTTCTCAGTTCCTTATCCACATTCATTTCTATTCCATATGCAGAACCTTTAATTATAAAATGGGCAGTTACCTCATATGGGATCACTTTGAGGAATAAGGAAGAGATGTTCTTATGTCAGATAATTTACGTTAAGTTTCTATTACCTAATACGTATACTTGAGTTTTGGAACATTAGCTATAAACCATTTTTGAGAACTGACTCAGTAATTTGGGTACAGGGCTTATTCACCTTGGAAGTGAACATATTCCCAAGTCTAAGCCACCATCTTGAAATGGACAGAACAAAGTAAAGAGCAGCAATAAACCGGCAGGGCTGGCTGGTGCCCACCAGGGGGCAGTATGCCACCACCTAAAGCCACCTGGAGACTAGCTCTTACCTATGAGAAGCCAGTAATTCCTCAAGTAGTTTAGTTTGTTCTTCCCCTTGAGTCCAGGGTCAAACTTGAGGTCGGTGCTAGGTGTGATCACACATTCCCCCTTGTCTCCAATGGTGACACCATCAGTCTGGGGACCTTCCAGCAAAGGAAGAGTGCTGCCACGAGGCTGTGGAGACAGAGTTGGTGAGCCTGGGAGCCCTGATAGAGAGCAGGTTCCTTGGCTCTCCTAGCAAACCTCTCTAGTCACTGTCTGAAGGCCCAAAGGAATGGCCATGTATCCAGCTGAGCAGTTCCTAATGTGGGCTGGCTCAGGATAGTCAAAACAATGGGAACCATGAAGTTACTAAGAGGCAGACCTAAGTGAACAACTTGTGGATATCTATTAGTCACCACTAACACCATTAATAGGATAGCATAAACTCTAACCATATAACCAGTGCTGGCTTAGCGATTACTAGAGCTGACAGAGGTATGCTCTTCCCTGTTGCTGGAGCAGTGGGCCAATCCACTAGGAAGATAGATATATGCTCCAGCCCTGGAAAGATCAGAATGAGCAGCCAGGAGCATAATGCTTCAGACATTCAGACACAGTGTTCAAGGCAGGCTGCTGAGACCCTAAGACGCTGAGAAGTTACAAGGATGGATGGAATCTGAGTAGGCAAAATGAAGAAGAAAGGGCATTTGAAGTGTGAGGTCAGCCCCACAAAGACTCAGAAGGAAGATGACAGGAGCTTTTTTTTTTTTTTTCTTTTTTGGGTCCGGTCATGGGGCCTGAACTCTGGGCCTGGGGGCTGTCCCTCAGCTCTTCAGCTCAAGGCTAGCACTCTACCACTTGAGCCACAGCGCCACTTCCGGCTTTTTTTTTCTGCTTATGTGGTGCTGAGGAATGGAACCCAGGGCCTCATGCATGCAAGGCAAGCGCTCTACCACTGAGCCACCTTCCCAGCCCAGATGACAGGAACTTTAGGGTGTCAAGGAGAAGAAGTACTTGGCTGGACCACGCAACTGCCATTGAGAAACCAGCAGGGTGGTGGGAGGACACGGAGGGCTGGCTTGAGGAGGGCCTGGACCCCAATCAGAAAGTTTAGATCTGTACACAAAAGCAATGTGAAATAACCGGGGATTCTTGGCTTCAGGAAGCTGCTCTGGTAATATATCTTGCTTTCAAAGTAGAATGGGGTATGAGCAGAAGCTATTCCTGAGACTTTCCACTTTTATATTTTTCCTTCTTAGCCAGCAGGACATTCAGGTGTTTCAAGAATTTTCTTTGGCCGGGCACTGGTGGCTCAGGAGTAGAGCCACTCAGGAGGCTGAGATCTGAGGATCACGGTTCAAAGCCAGCCCGGGCAGGAAAGGCCTTGAAACTCTTATCTCCAATAAACCACTCAAAAAACCAGAAGTGGCGCTGTGGCTCACGTGGCAGAGTGCTAGCCTTGAGCTGAAGAGCTGAGGGACAGCGCTCAGTCCCAGAGTTCAAGCCCCATGACTGACCAAAAAAAAAAAAAGAATATTTTTTTGTTAGTAAGGAACAAAGTAGTTGGAGGCTCGGTGAGCCCCATGGTGTTCTCACCACAACAGCGACTCCCTCGTGTACCATAGAGGGCGAGGCGTAGAGACTGGTAGAGTACTTCCCAACATACAAGGTGGGCCTGGAAGGAAAAACAGAAGCATGTGTTCCAATTTATTTCATGCACAGATCCCACAAAAGGGAGCTCTTGGGGAGAGCAGAATGACAGCCCCAAATGGCATTTCCACATATGGAGTCTGATTGGCTCCAGACATGGGAGGAAAGATGGGAGGTGGGATATGAGAGGTTATGAAGTGGGGTATGAGGTAGAACTGCTGCAGAGTACAACAGCAAGACTTTAGGCAGAAGCTTCACTTGTTGCTTACAGAAATATGACAAGCTTTATAATATTAATGATGCTTCTTTATTATCAAAATGCCAAGACCAGACTAGACTCTGCCCCAGGCCAGGAGAATGAATACTTAGTGCCCACTGCTAAAGCTTCTTGGATAACACTGACCAGCATCTTCATGCCAGCAACCCCAGTACCAGCACTACAATGCCTTGCAAGGACTCTAGGGACTCTGCACGGACCCCAAGGAGTAGTCAACTGTTCTACTCCAGATGTTGGGAGCGAGGGAAGGGGTAACATTGTCAAAAAGAAATGCATGCTTTATCTTTACTTTTTATTTTTTGGTCAGTCGTGGGGCTTGAACTCTGGGCCTGGGTGCTGTCCCTAAGCTCTTCAGCTCAAGGCAAGCGCTCTACCACTTGAGCTACAGGGCCACTTCTGGTTTTCTGGTGGTTAACTGGAGATAAGATTCTCATACACTTTCCTATACAGGCTGGCTTTGAACTGTGATCCACAGATCTCAGCCTCCTGAGTAGCTAGGATTACAGGCATGAGCCACTGGTGGTGGTAGGCTTACCTTTACTTTTTATATCATCTTTATAACAATAAGAATAAATAAGATTTTTTTAATTCCAAATTGAGTGACACTTGTAGTCCCACAGCTAGGTATTTTGTCCCTGTCCTGAAGACCAGAGAGGTGACAGGGGTTACCAGTATCTACCTTGTCCAAGACCTGTGGTTACTATTGTTAATAGACCTGGTGGGGTCAATCAGCTACTGATTTACCCAAACCCTTCCATTTGAGCAACGTTTTACTGTAGACAGTACTTTCATGCATTATTTAACCCTCCCACAATTCTGTAAAGTAAGAAGGGACTTGATGTATTTAAGTGACTTTGTAGCAAGCTATAAGCAGATGGGGATGGAGATCACAAATCTGCTGGGTCTTCTTTTTCTTTTTTTAATTTTTAAATTGTTAGGTAAAGAGTAAATTTCTCTTTGAACAATGTCACTTTCTTCATTTTTTTTCACATTTTTTTTCTCACATTTAAAATCTATGTAACATTTCTGGAGACTAATAGCTCATGACTGTTATCCTAGCTACACAGGAGCCTAAGATCTGAGGATCATGGTTCAAAGACAGCCCGAGAAAGAAACTTCATGGGGCTGGGAAGGTGGCTCAGTGGTAGAGTGCTTGCCTTATATGCCTGAGGCCCTGGGTTTGATTCCTCAGCACACATAAGCAAAAAGAAAGAAACTTCATGAGGCTCTTATCTTCAATCAAAAAGCCAGAAGTGGAGCTATGGCTCAAGTAATAAGTGTGGTAGCCTTGATCACAAAAACTCAGGGATGGTACTTGGGCTTTGAATTCAAGCCCCAGGACAGGCACACACCAAAAAAGAATATAACATAATAAAAAAAAATTAGAAAATACATCAAGTTGGGCTGGGAATATAGCTCAATAGCACAGTGCTTACCTAGCATGCACAGGACTCTGGGTTCAACCTTAGCACCACAAACAAATAAAAAGAAAAAAAAAGTTTAAAAAAAATCTCTTATTTTTATAAGAGATTCATGCTTATAGTTATTCTATATGCTATAGTTATCCTGGCCGTCTCCTTCCTATGTCTACTATTTAATAATCAAGAACTTTGAAGCACCTAGGGTGCTCCTGGTTCTTATATTCTAGGGTTTTCCAGTAAGTCACTTTTTGGCATGAGAGCCATCGGCTTCCTCTAGTATAGGGAGTGCTACACTGCAGCAGGACCAGAAGAACAGGATCCCAGCTACCCTCTACTGCCTCCTACTGCCCCGAGTTCCCCAACTCACATCAGCTTGCTCTTGGCCTCCGTCTCTTTGGGGAATGGGTACTTCCACTTGGTAATGCGTCCCACCTCACCAGACATGAAGGTCAGGTAGCGCAGGGTCTCCACAGCCACATTGATGTGCATCACCTTCCTCAGACCTTCCCGCTGCCAGACATAGAAGGCCACCACGGGGGAGGCGTAGTTTTGGATCCACAAGACATCCCCAGATTCACTGTCCACAGTCACCACTAGCCCATCGCCATTTGACACAAAGTGGGACATCTCTGTAATGACCAAACAGCAAAGCACATTGGACCTCACCTGCAACCACATCCTCAACTCACTTGACAATCGCAGTCCTGAACAGAGAAAATAAGACTTCTGGAATAGTCTCAGATCTTCTTAGAACAGATCTCTGGTTTCCAATGAGCTGTTTAGGCTTCTCAATATCAAGACCATAAAAGAATTCCCTGGCTTATAGACATAAGATAGGATCATTCTCTCAAAGGCAATTTCCTCACTGATGTTCCTTTCCATTCTACTCTAAAAGTGATCTCTATCAATCTGGCATTTTATACCAACTATTTAAAACCTACAGCTTGAGTCAGGCATGCTAATAATGAACAACTTCAATCCAGCTGAGCTTAGGCTGAGGCAGGAGAGTTACAAGGTAAAGGTTAGCTGGGACTACATAGTACAGCTGTTTCAAAACAAAACAAACTAAAATAACTGCTTAAGTATCAAATTTAAAGTCAGACCTATATGTACCTGAGTCACAAAAGAAAACTTGAGGACAAAAAAATATTCTAGGTCCTGGGCCAGAATGGGCAGTCAGACTTTCAGGTGTCAATATTAAGATGACAAAATCCAGTTTCTCAGTTATTCTTTGAGTTGGGAGAACTTAATAGAGAAATAATCAGAAGACATGCCACATTTGGGATGGTTTTCTGGATAGGATTATTGATGTCACTCTGATTTTTAAATGTGTTCTTTCTTTGGGCTTCCAGTAAATTTTTCCCATGACATATGGATTCAACAGGTCTGATCTTCATCTTCTGTGACTAAACCCACCACCTAAGAAGTTGGCTGTTGTAAGACTTAACACTCAGACCCCTGCTATAATGACTGTAGGAAGTATTTACTATAAGCCCATGGAAAGTCCAGAACCTCATCAGAGAAAAAGGTGCTGTAAGTGAAGATCTGGCTTTCTGAAATGATCGTTTCCTACATGTGGAAGATGCCTGGTGAGGCACCCCTGGCACACTTACTGTAGTCCACGTCGTCCTCAGGAAGGGAGGCTGCATAGTCAAAGTAGGTGGCATTCCAGCGGAGCTCTCGGGTCTTGGTGTCATACATGGTGATGGTGTATTCTAAAGGATACAGACCAGTCCTTTACCACAGAGGGGCTGTGGCACCTGCTGAGGTGTTGGACTATATCTAGTTAGAACAAACAGGCTCTCCCTAAATGCCAAATTTAAAGGTTCAGGCTGTCTATGTGGAAAGAGAAACTATGTGGAAGAGAACTAAGACCCAAACACAAGACTGAACCTGGTCAATAGTATGTGGAGCAGTAACAGTCGTACTCACTATGGCCTGGAACTCACAGCTCACAAAGTCATGAGCATATAATGGTTGCTTTTAGCCATTAAGTTTCAGGATGGTTTACTATATGGCAATTTATCAGTACCCAGAAGTGGGATGACACCATCACAAAAACCTAAAACATGCAGCACTTTGGGACCAAGTAGAAGCTGGAGGACAAGAGGACTATTAGTAGAGACTTGGAAAAGTAATGAGAAAATTGTTGTTAGAAGCTGAAAAAAGGTGGCTTAGATTAGAAGCACAACTAGAAAAGCTATTGCTTACAACCTGGAAGTCAGAAAAAATACCTAATACATTTAGGGAATCTGACCAAGGAAATTTCTTTTCTTTTTTTTAAATACTGCATGATTCTATTTATATAACCATTGAATGATCACAAGATTTGGGGGGGGGGGGCGGGCGCTGGTGGCTCACGCCTGTAATCCTAGCTACTCAGGAGGCTGAGATCTGAGGATCGCGGTTCAAAGCCAGCCCGGGCAGGAGAGACCGTGAGACTTTTATCTCCAATAAACCACCAGAAAACCGGAAGTGGCGCTGTAGCTCAAGTGGTAGAGCGCTGGCCTTGAGCTGAAGAGCTGAGGGACAGCGCCCACGCCCAGAGTTCAAGCCCCAAAAAAAAAAAAAAAGATTTGGGGGTGGGGGGAGAAAGAGAGAGAGAGAAAAAAAAGATTCTCAAGATGGGAAGCAGGAAGCCAGGAGTCTGGAAGGTGGTTTCAGATGATCAACAGCCTTAGAACAAAGCACTGCCAGAGTACTGGCAGCAAGAAGAAAAGGACCTCATCTAGATCCAACCCAGAGACTTCTTTGAGGGGCTGGGAAGGTGGCTCAGTGGTAGAGTGCTTGCCTTGCATGCATGAGGCCCTAGGTTCGATTCCTTAGCACCACATAAGCAGAAAAAGCCGGAAGTGGAGCTATGGCTCAAGTGATCGAGCATTAATCTTGAGCTGAAGAGCTGAGGGACAGTGCCCAAGCCCAGAGTTCAGGCCCCACAACCAACAAAAAAAGAAAAAGAAAAAAAAAGACTTCTTTGAGGACTCAGAAAGATGGTACCTCATAGACTCTCTCCTAGATAAGAAGGGGTCTAAGAACTACCAGACTGTTTTAGAGATTTGTAGCTTTTATCTAATGAAATAGGTTATGATTTGACACATGGAAAGCCTATAGTTCATCAAATAGTGATAAGCATGAACTACAATAATCAGAGATCGTCAAGTTGGGTATGTATGTGAGGGTATGGCCTTTAGTCCTCCCCTCCCCCACTTTCAATGAACAAGGAACAGATTCAGAAAGCTAGCCAAAGGGCTGGGAAGGTGGCTCAGTGGAAGAGTGTTTGTCTTGCATGCATGAGGCCCTGGATTCGATTCCTCAGCACCACATAAGCAGAAAAAGACAAAAGTGGCACTGTGCTCAAGTGCCTTGAATTGAAGTGCTGAGGGACAGCGCCCTGGCCCAGAGTTCAGGCCCCATGACTGGGGAAAAAAAAGAAGAAGAAAGAAAGAAACCTAGCCATTTCTGATGGAAAAGAAAGGATTTCTCTGAAGAACTAAGAGCTGCTGAAAACATGTGCTAGAGAACCAATCACAGAGGGAAACACTTAAGTGTTCATCAAGGAATATTTCCCGTCCCCAGAGCAGGAAACCTGAAAACATGTGCCTTGCTAGAGTTCAGAATTACAAGGACAAGTGTCCATTATGTATCTTTCTTTCCGTTCCCTTTTGCTAGGAATTTGTGTGTGTGTATGTGCCAGGGTTACCAGGACCCTGCATGTGTGCTAGGCAAGTGTGTTACCACTGTCTTACATCCCCAGCATTTTTTGTTTCCATTTCTGAATGAAAATGTTTGCTATGGCTATCCTGTCTCACAATTATGTGTCAGTGGAGGGAGGGGAAAGTTGTAGGAGAGAGGGGGACTTGACTCTAATACACAGGTTTCTAGATAAGAAACAACTACCTCCAAGCCTGATACAGCTCCCAAGACACTGAATTTTGAGATTAATGCTGTGATTGAACTTTGGGACTCTTGAGAGAGGGCTGAGAATATTTTGTACTGGAAGGGATTTTAAGTTCTATATGCAGAGGGAGGACTGTGGTAGAATGTTTGAAAAGATCACCATCATCAATCTTCCCTTGGTGGGGGAAGCCACTCTTTCTATGAAGAGGCCAAGTCTATTTCTCTACCCTTGGCCAACCTCATGACTTGATTTGATTGCATGGAAAGTAAAGTTCTCTTGTGGAGCCTTCTCCACAAGGTCTAAGGAACTCAGACCGTCTGAGGCATTCTAACATTCACTTAAAAGATTATTGTTATAGTGAAATTTATGTAATCATTTAATCTCAATAATTTTAAAAATTATTGCTACTATAAAGCTGCTGTACCAGAGGGGTTCCAGTTTCATAAGTCAGGTAAAGAGTACATTTTTTTTAACAATGTCCCCCTTCCCTTGCATTTCTCCCAGTTTTGACACTCACTCACTTTTGCTCCAAAGGAAACTGCAAGCTAGGGGCTGGGAGTGTGGCTTAGTGGTAGAGTGCTTGCCTAACATGCACGATACCCTGGGCTTGATTCCTCAGTACCATGTAAACAGAAAAAGCTGGAAGTGGCACTGTGGCTGAAGTGGTAGAGCGCTAGCCTTAAGCACACAGAAGCTCAGAGACAGTGCCCGGGCCCTGAGTTCAAATCCCAGGCTGGTTTAAAAAAAAAATGAACTGTAGGCTATTTGCATGGAGAAAGGTTACATGGAGCTGAACCAAGGCCTCAGATAGGAGACAACCCTGCATATAAAGATGAGCTGACCTTGTTGAGTACTTCCTGAATTCTTTCCCCACAGAATCAGGAACAATAAAATGGCTGTTATTTTAAGGCACTAAGGTATTTGTTTTGCAGCCACAGACAATGAAGATCATAGTTTTTGAAGGGGTGGCATTGTCCACAGAGAAATATACTCATTACCTGACTTATGTAACTATAACCCCTCTGTACCTCATCTTTATAAAAACAAAAAAGTTAAACATTAAAAAAAATAGCTTTTGTGTCATACACACAAGGAAAGAAAACCGTAGCTTTATCAACCTACGTACATACACTCCACCTATGCTAGGGAATATCCCGACTCCCTAAAATGTCTCAATTCTACCTGAGAACCACACAATTTTTACACAGGGGTGAACTTTAGAGTCTCTGTAACTTTACATGGAAAAAAGTAAACAAGTCCTAAGCAGTCCCAACAGTTGGGAGTTAGAATATCTAATTTATACAAGGGGATAGTACTGAATATTACTGACTAAGACCCTTCTCCTAGCAACAGAAGAGGCCAACCAGCCTGTCCAGGGCCTAGGACTAGTCTCACTGCTAATCCACAGCATCTCCTTTCTCAAAGCCTTGGTTACCTGAATACTAGGATCTGAATTTAGTGCTCAATTATAATGAATTTATCCTAGGTTTTGTTTTTTAATTTAATGACCTGCTTTATAGACTTATAAAATTTTATTAATACATGATGCACATATATGAGATTCCACATTTATAGTATAATTTTTCCCCTTCTGTGTGTTGTTCTTGTGTCTTTTAGTTTAACTATGGTTCAACAATTTTTAATCATGATTGTGTGTAAGTGGGCCCACTCATTCACTCATTTCAATGTTGGAGCACTTCATACATATCATGGCATATGTCCAGTATACAGACCCAGTCTTGCTCTAGAGGAACTGACAGTCCAACAGGGGAGGCAAAAATAGGCACATAAAATTTATAAATAGCGACAAGTACTAGAAAGATGATGGCCAACAGTGAGGAAATAAAGCATGGCATGGTGAAGAGGGTGCCACTCATGCCTAAAAAGGGACAGTGATGGGCGGCCGTGAGATGGCCGCTACAACAAGGCTGTCCACTATGATGTCTATCCCCAGATGAGCTCAGAGAGACAAGCCCAGTGTCCCTGGGCAGGGTGAGAGCCTTCAGGCTGGGGAAGAAGCTTCACAGAAGAGGATGTGGAGCAGAGATAAAGAAGAGAGGAGGACGTTAGCCAGCATGCAGAACCAGCTTACCTGTTGAAGAAGGACACCCTGATATAGGTGCTTAAAAACAGAACTGCAAGGGCTGGGATGTAGCTCAGTGGCAAAGCGCTTGCCTAGCAAGTGCAACGTCCTGGGTTTGATCCCCAGTACCAAAAAAGAAAAGACAAAGAAAAAGAAAAAAAAAAAAGAAAAAAAGAACTGCTACTTAGTGGATGTAAGCTGGCACACCCAATTAGAAAATGTTTGAATGGGGGAAATGAATTAAGAGAGAGGCAAGGCAGAGCGGTGGCACCCACAGCAGGGCTCCATGGGTCCTGATGCAGTCTGGACTGTATTCCTTCGGCAATGGGGCCTCTGAAGGGTCTTTTTAAATTTTTTAAATATCTTTAGGTAGTTGTACAAAACAGTATATGAATACAAGGTGTCTGACCACATTGTCACCCATCGCTTCTAACCCACCCATCTGAAGGGTTTTAAGAGTAATGATCTGACAGATGAGAGAGGACAGCTTTGGCTACTATCTGGACAACAAAACCTGTAGCAGAAGCCAATGGGGGAGCTTCATCAGATCATTCTGCAAACAAACAGGTTTGCAAACCAAAGGTTCATTTCTTACCTGTCCGTCCAAGATACAGAAGAGAGGTTGATGGGCAGAGGCTATCTGCAAAGGCTGATGACAGAGTCTGCTGCTTCTCTCCAGTCAGTAGGTCGATGACATACCAAATGTCCTGCTTTTTACCTGCAACATTACAGGACATGCTGTTGTTAGCATCCATCATCCTATGTGTAAGAAAATACCATGACCTAAGTAACAGTTATCTGTTTAAGACTTTGTCTGTTCAGTCTGAAGTCCTCAGAATATCAGACATTTCTATGATGCTCTGAAAATGACAAAGTAAAAAGTGGCGTGGATATAGTAACTTCTTGGGCCACTGGGTCTTTTCTCCTCTTAGTACTAGGGTTAGAATTCAGGGCGGCCTTGTGCTTACAAGGCAAGCACTCTAATGCGGACACTTAAGCCATGACCTCAACCCTTTTTGTTTTAGAGTTTGTTTGTTTGTTTTTATTTTTTAAGAGGGGTTTTGCCTGGGCTGGCTTTAGACCCTGACTCTGCTACCTATACCTCCCACGTAGCTAAGATCACATACATGTTCCACTCTGCCTGGCTTACTTGAGATGGGGTCTTGCTAACACAAATGGCATGAGCCACTGATGATAGACATAAGCCACTGTGCCAGACCCTCCACTGGGTCTCATAATAATTTAATACCTAATCATTATATACAAATTTCTCCAGAGCAAATAACCTAATTATAGTTTTAGATGTTTCCTAACTTTCAAGTTCAATTTTATTGCTTTTACTAGTGGCCCTAAATATGAAAAAATGTTGCTTGCAAAAAGCAGTTCTTTTCCCACGGACTAGGATCTATATAAATATGAAACTGTATCCAGAGGTTCATCTCCCTAGTAAACCATAATTCCTATTTCTCAACATCCCTACCAATTAGCCTACATGTGAAGAGGATCATAACTAAAATTAGCTGGTACCTGTGACTGGTCCACAAACTCAGTTGTAATCTGATGCTAATGGGGCCAAAGTTATCTCAGCTTCTATCCTCAGCCAGTATGTTATTCCCCGGCCACAGATCATAGCCCTCACCTCAGTCAACGTTTTAAGAGAGTTATCAACAGAGGGAGAGGAAAAGCCAGAGCACATGTATCTATGGTGTGACATCCTGGGAATACTAAATCTGGAGTACGAGTTTCAGATCTGGAGGCAATACAGCCAGTGTAATGGGTGCCATTTCTGTTTGTGAGCCATGGCTCTGTTCACTGGTATCTTCCTTACTGGAAAAGTTCCTATATCAAAGAACTTGGAAGAAGAACACTGAGATGCTGGGAAGACCACAGGACATCAGAATTTGCTAAAGCTACCTCTTAGTTCTAATAGGCCCCACATATCCTGATTCCTCACAGTGTAACGTGACTGTGGATCATAATTCTGCTCTCAATAATAAGGTTTTTATTTTTATTTTTGCAGTATTAGGGATCAAACACAGAGCCTCGTGCATGCTAAGCAAGCACTCTACCACTGAGCCACAGCCTCAGTCCTCAGTGATGGATCTTTTTCTTTTTGTGCCAGTCCTGGGGCTTGACCTCAGGACCTATGTGCTGTCCTTGAGCTTTTTCATTTTTGTTCAACCATGAACGTTAGCTTTATTGGTTGCACTAAGCTAGATTGACAATTGCTATCTTTTAGAGCTTCATTTATGTCCTTCCACACTCTCCTTGCATTTTTAGAGCTGAGAAAACTGCTATTATTATAATGAGCTTTCCATTGTATGTAACTTATCTCTTATTTGAAACTTTTTTTTTTTGGTCAGTTGTGGGGCTTGAATGCAGGGCCTGAACTCTGTATTTGAGCTCTTTTGCTGAAGACTACTACTCTACCATTTTGAGCCACAGCTCCACTTCCATTTTTCTGGTGGTTAATTGGAGGTAAGATTTTCTTGCCCCACCTGGCTTCAAACCATAACCCTCAGATCTCAGCCTCCTGAGTAGTTAGGATTATAGGCATGAGCCACTGGTGTACACTTCAATGGTAAGATCTTAATATGAAATGGATTGGAAGACAGAGCATGTGGCCATGAATCCCTTCCTGGAATGACATATGCCTGGCTGCTTCAAGTGAAACCAAGCTGCCACTTCAATGGATGGACTGGGCAACTACTGTATTCTTAAATCTGCTTAGATGGCATCATATAAAGATGATGGAAAAACAACATCCTAACTAGGTCACAAGTGACAAATTGCTGGCAAAAGCTAGAAGACCACACAGGAAACAAAGATGGTCAGTGGATGATGAGGTAGGCCTCATAACATTGCCCAGAAGGGAGGGAAAAGCTTATTGGTCACTTCTTCTAAAGGAAGCAAGAACTCCATGGTAGCTAGCAAAAATTTAAGAGCCCATATTTGAGACCCAGAAACACACATAAAGTTCCCAGGCATGAATAGGCAATAAATAAGCACTTTCAGTTCCTCAAAAAGAAAGCTGCTATATAAACACTGGCTATTAGTACTACTAGGATTTCAAGATAAATACAGCTCTCCTTTGTGTACAAATGCATTTTTATTGACATTCTGGCAGCAATGTGGAGGAAAAAAACAGGTGAGCTGATGCTTTGAAAGCTGTGACCCCACCAGGTATGGGGGCAGTTTATCTAGGCAAGCCGTTAAAGACTGCTTCTACCTAATAGTCTGATAAAGCCCTACAATAGGGCTTAATAGGCAGGGCCAGCTTCTCTTACTTGGCTCAGATATTGTATTCACTTTAAATTTCATCCACTTGCAGCTGGGTATGTCGCAATCTTGACTCTCAGGAGGGTGAGCCAGAAGCCAAAGGCTTGTAAATGAGTAACCAGATTCATGGTGTCAATTTTTCTCCCAGGTGTGTGTTGGGGGGTGGGTACGGCATGGGGGAGTCCTTTCTTAACTGGTCAGCAAGACAGGCCTTTCCCAGAAGGACCAGCAAGGGGGTGATGGCAGTCCTCTATCTTAGCTAATACATTCCCAGATTCTAGACTCCTCCAAGTTTCAGTGTTGAAAACAGGAACTCTTACCCATGTAGAGGATTCCATCTGAACTTCGGCAGGGGGATGCCTGTACCAGTTCTGGGATGGTAAAGGGAAGTTTCTTTAAAAAAAAAGAAAAGAAAAAGAAAAACCAATAAAAGGAAAAAGTAGGTTAACCAACTCTGGTAAAATTATTACACTTTTACTGAGCAGTCTGTTTGTGTAAATGTAATTCTGCTAAAGAGAGAAAAGCATCTTGTAAATAGGAGTTTTCCTAACTGGAACCCAAAGAAGGGGATGCTCTGGGCTTCTGCATCCCCTACAGAGAGCCTCTGGACTCCCAGGGTCCCCAGCCCTGTAAACACTGACTTGAAGCTTTACTTCACACAGGACGCAGAGGTCTCCCAGGCTTCCTGTCCAGGACACTTCCCAGGGGCAACACAAATCTTTCTGAAAAGCCACAAATATGGAGAGTTACTCAATCTTGGGAGTTCTAAGGGTCCTGTCTTGACCCTGAGATGGCCAGGCTAGGTAGAATGGCCTTGCTTTTTAGAGTGGGTGGAATCATGACACTGATGCTGAAAAGAGGCAGCCTGCACTTGAGACCCAGAAATATACATAAAGTTTAACCCTTGGGGGAAAAAGAGGCGTTGGTACCTGGGCAACTCAGGGGTGTGGGGTGGGAAAAGTGATTTTGGTGTTTTCTTCAATAAGTAATTTTTTACTTTTAAAACATAAAAGCAAGCTCTGGTTATAAAAAGGAAGTTAGGGGTAGATGCCAGGAAGAGAAACTCAAAGAAATCCAATGTTTCAATGCATTGCATCATAAAACTAACTCTTCTGAGTCCGCAGGTGACATCTGACCAGTCCTTTGGTTTCTGTTCATTTCAGTATTCTTTATTTTTGGAACGTTCTGTGTTTCTGAAACTGTTCTGCAGACAGTTGCTGCTACAGAAGGAACTCCAGGCTTCTACCACACTGCCACCTTTGTCTCCAAAAGAGAAAAGATTGCTCTATAGCACTAACAAACAGAACTGTAATACTAATAAGCAATTTAGATTTTCCCTATAACCTCAACATCCAAACTAAGCCTTAGAAAAGGAAGTTGTAATGCCTAGGTTTTTGCCAGATGCTTTCAAGAATCAAGAAATAGCTGCCAGTCCTCCAGGTTGGAGTTCTGTGCTCTGGGCTAAGCCTTGTCACAGCTTTCCCACTTCTAGAAGCAGGCTGGGAAATGCATGATCTCTGGAGCCACTAGCCAACACAGGAAGAACACCACAGTATAGGTAAGAACATCCTCTAAAGGTCAACCCTCTTTAAGTTCCAGCCCAACTCTGGGAACCTCAGTCTTGGGTATCATCCTTGACTTGCCTAGGCTCAGTTTCCACACCTCTAAAAGGGGAATAATGTCTATGGGCTGCTGAGAGGCTCACATACGATGACAAATTAATCATCATGATTTCTAGCAAATAAAGTGTTTATGAAATAGAAGCCACAGTGACCTTAAAAGAAACATACAAGGTGAAGTACTCTTCTCACATCACTTCTAGCCCAACATAATCAAAAATTAATCATAAAATACCCCACTGGGGCCTGGGAAGGTTGCTCAGTGGTAGAGCGCTTGCCTTGCATGCATGAGGCCCTGGGTGCAATTCTTCAGCACCACATAAGCAAAAAGAAAAAAGCCGGAAGTGGTGCTGTGGCTCAAGTGGTAGAGCACTAGCCTTGAGCTGAAGAGCTGAGAGACAGCGCCTAGGCCCAGAGTTCAGGCCCATGACCGGACCAAAAAATAAATAAAAATAAAATACCCTACTGAAGCTGTAGTTATCATCCTTATACTTTAGAATCACAAAGAGACTTTCTAGAGGTCATTCTGAAGCATAAGGCACAAACAGAAAAGCACTGATAATTACACAGGTCAATAACTTCCATAGTGAACATTCCAGTGTCACCAGCATCCAGTGAAGATACAGAACCTTTCTAGCACTATCCCTCCCCTCACTTTGTGCTCTCCAGGTAACTATTCTTGTAATTTTAAAACAGCACAGACTAAGTAAGGGAAGAGGGTAACATTGTCCAAAAAGAAATGTACTCATTACCCAACTTATGTACCTGTTACCCCTTTGTACATCACCTTTATAATAACAATTAAAAAATAAAAATAGCTAGTTTTTTCCTGTTTTTGAGCTTCATTAAACAAATAATTCAGTGTATAGTCTTGTCATGTTTGTTCAATGTTATGTTTGTGAAACAGATCAACATTGGGAATAGTCGTAGACTATTTTTCCTGCTTAGAATATCCTACTTCATGCCTATCTCATTTATCCATTCTACTGCTGATACTATTTGGTTAGTTCTACTTGTGCTTGTATAACCTGTGTGACAGCACATTTGAGTATGTTGTCATTTGGGACATGGCCTTCTCTTGGTACACATGTAGGGAGAGCAGTACTGGGTTGTAGAGACATGTGCTGCCAAACACTTTTCCAAACCAGTTGTATCACCTTGTACTCTCAGTGTGTGAGAGCTCTGGCTGCTCTGTCCCAACTGACACACTTTTTCTTCTGTTGTCAGACCTGCAGTTATATGCACACTGGGAAGGAGCACAGTGCTGTGACTGGAATTTGTCACCATTTGAACAACCCTTTCTACCAGTCTGCTGGGTCATGTGGCTTTCTACAATGAGCCATTTATCTTCTACTCAGGAACACTTTTCCTACCCTTAGGTCATTTGTCTGAGACCAGGAATTGAATTCTGTGTCAGACGCTTTTGCCCATTGGCTTCCAACCCCTAAAATTTTTCATAGCATTTCACATTTAGATATGCAGTCTGATCAGAACTGATATTTATATATGGAAGTTGGGGACCAGTCAAGGTATCTTTTTCTACTTATACTATTAATTGAAAACACCATCCCTCCCCCATTCCAGTGCCATCTTTGCCATAAATCAGAGGATACTACGTGTGGGTCTAAATTTACTTATCTGAGGAGGTTTTCAAAACCCTGATAAAGGGCTGGGAAGGTGGCTCAGTGGTAGAGTGCTTGCCTTGCATGCATGAGGCCCTGGTTTCGATTCCTCAGCACCACATTAGTAGAAAAAGCCAGAAGTGGTGCTGTGGCTCAAGTGGTAGAGCGCTAGCCTTGAGTTGAAGAGCTCAGGGGCAGCACCAAGGCCCAGAGTTCAGGTCCCACGACCGCAAAAAAAAAAAACAAAAACAAAAACCTGATGAAGCTGCAGGTATAATAATTCAGTGGTAGAGTAATTACCTAACATGTGCAGGCAATAGGTTCAATCCCTACCATCTAAATAAATAAACAAATACATTTCTGATGACTTAGATTAACTCAAAACATCCTGAGATTGATACTAGGGCTGGAGTCTCTCAGATTATTACAATGTGCAACAAAGGCTGAAAAAGGTTGAAAACCAATTGTTTAGATTCTCAAATGGAAATAGGGATGAAAAACCACAAGTGGGCTGGAAGGTGGCTCAGTGGTAGAGTGCTTGCCTTGCATGCATGAGGCCCTGGGTTCGATTCTTCAGCACCACATAAGCAGAAAAAGCCAAAAGTGGCGCTGTGGCTCAAGTGGTAGAGGGCTAACCTTGAGCTGAAGAGCTGAGGGACAGTGCCCAGGCCCAGAGTTCAGGCCCACAACCGACAAACCCTCCCCCCCCCAAAAAAAAAACCCCACAAGCATCCTCTAAGGAGACATTTGATAGAGGAGATATGGAGACAGTTGTTTCATACTACACTCTTTCCTCCCCAGTTGAGGGTCTCTAGCTAGAGCAAACAATATCACTGTGGGGAGCCTTCTACCCTTCAAATGTGTTGGGTGAGCCACCAGTACCTGCTGGTCTAGGAAGGTCTGTGATTCTAAACTCTGACTGCACAGTTCAAAGTTCACTTAGGAAGCTCTGAAGGGGCAGTAGTGTCCAGCCCTAGTCCAGACTGGATCACCAGATGCTTGTTTAAAGCTCCCAGAGTATCAAAAAAACTAAATATCCTCACCGTCAGTCCTTCATTGTTCTTGCCTCCAAGTGTATACAGGCTGCCATCATTGGGATCTGGGAGGAAGGCAGGCCTAGAGATTAAAAGTAAATATCAGTGATAAATAGCATAGCACAGAACAAAATATATAAGCTATACAAAGCCATGATGCAGAGAGAGTAGGTGTGTGTGTGTGTGTGTGTGTGTGTGTGCGTGCGTGCGTGTGTGTGTGTGTGTGCGTGTGCGTGCGCGCGCCAGATTGTCCCATTGCTCTCACTTATGCTACAGATTAAATAAATAACCCGCATGGTTATTTCACTGGAGAAAAGCCACTTTGGGCTTTTTCTGCTTATATGGTGCTGAGGAATCGAACCCAGGGCCTCATGCATGTGGGACAAGCACTCTACCACTGAGCCACCTTCCCAGCTCTGCATGTCAATCATGGTAAGAATTTCAACAATATTTAAGAGCTTAACATAACACATAAGCAGATAATTTTTTCTTTTCAACAACATTTATTTTTCAAATAGAGACTCTGAAGGCCTAACATCAGAGACCCTGCTAGGGAGGTAGACCAGTCTGTCAGCAGCTCATAGAACAGATGGGAGATGGTCCTTCCAAGTTTAATCTGTTAAAGACTAAACTACAACTAAGTCACTGAGGAACCTCTTCCCAAATCATTCCTTGACTTAAAATGCACCATCATGTGAGGCTTTTACAGACAATTTCTGACATTTCCTCTAACACATACACTCTAGGGGCAGGTCACACTCACCTTTGAACAGGGAGTTGGCACACAGGGAGAGATCCAGACTCTGAAAGTTTTTTTGTTTTTTTTTTGTCAGTTGTGGGGCCTAAACTCTGGACCTAGGTGCTGTCCCTCAGCTCTTCAGCAGAAGGCCAGTGCTCTACCACTTGAGCCACAGTGCCACTTCTGGCTTTTTCTGCTTATGTGGTGCTGAGGACCTCATGCATGCAAGGCAAGCACTTTACCACTGAGCCACCTTCCCAGCCCCAAGACTTTGGAAGTTTTAAGTTCAAAACTCTTACTTAGCCAGGCGCCGATGGCTCACGCCTGTAATCCTAGCTACTCAGGAGGCTGAGATCTGAGGATCGCAGTTCAAAGCCAGCCCAGGCAGGAAGACCATGAGACTCCTATCTCCAATAAACCACCAGAAAACCGGAAGTGGCACTGTAGCTCAAGTGGTAGAGCACTCGCCTTGAACTGAAGAGTTGAGGGACAGCGCCCAGGGGCAGAGTTCAAGCCCCATGAGCGACAAAACAAAAACAAAACTCTTACTTAAGTTCCATCCCAAACTAATTTTAAATTTTTTATTGTTATCATAAAGGTAATGTACAAAGGGATTACAATTACATAAGAGTACATTTCTTTTTGGACATTGTCAGCCCTCCAAACTTTTCAAATACCACTGCTTTCTTGGCCCCCCAAAATAGACCATCCCTCTGTGACACAGGTTTCCACGATAGCACCTGTAAAATTCTATATGCCTCACAAATTTGTATTATCCTAAGCTTTATGTACATGCTCCCCAAATATTGATTGAATGAATAAAACAATGACTTAAAGGGAAGTATGGAACGAATCAGAAAACTTACTCTTGCACATGTGTTGGAACTTGCAGGACTGGATCTGTGCAAAAGAACAAAAAGGCAGCATGAGACAGGTTCTGAAACATCAAGGGTTGTCAGGGTTATCTAGGACACAAGTTGTACAGACAATGGAGGTTGACCTGTAATGGGATAAGATAACCAATGTATGGACATTTCAGAATGAATGAACACACACACACACACACACATTTCAGAATGAATGAACACACACACACACACACACACACACACACACTGTAAGCTGGAGCTGGGAAGGTGGCTCAGTGGTAGAGCACTTGCCTTGCATGCATGAGGCCCTGGGTTTGATTCCTCAGCCCCACATAAGCAAAAAAGAAAAAAAGCCTGAAGTGGCGCTGTGGCTCAAGTGGTAGAATGCTATCCTTGAGCTGAGGGACAGTGCCCAGGCCCAGAGTTCAGGCCCCATGACCGGACTCAAAACAAAAAACAAAAAACAAAACCCTGTAAGCTTTTTTATTACTGAGATTTGATAAAGAACTGTTATCAAGAAACCTGCATATGGGCTGGGAAGGTGGCTCAGTGGTAGAGCGCTTGTCTTGCATGCCTGAGGCCCTGGGTTCGATTCCCAGCACCACATAAGCAAAAAAGAAAAAAGCTGGAAGTGGCGCTGTGGCTCAAGTGGTAGAACGCTAGCCTTGAGCTGAAGAGCTGAGGGACAGCGCCCAGGCCCAGAGTTCAGGCCCCACGACGGGACCCCCCCCCCAAAAGAAAAGAAATCTGCATATTCTTGGTAGATAAACATACAAAGAAAGATCAGTCATAACCATAACGCTAGCCTTGAGCTGAAGAGCTGAGGGACAGCGCCCAGGCCCAGAGTTCAGGCCCCACGACGGGAACCCCCCCCCCAAAAAAAAAGAAACCTGCATATTCTTGGTAGATAGACATACAAAGAAAGATCAGTCATAACCATAGTGGCCAATGAGGGACAGCATCACTATCTGGCACATTGACGAATTCTCAAACACAAGTGATTTCCTTACCAGATACCTGAAGAAGCACTAGATATTCCATTAGGGAATACTAAGCTGTGGCTTAAGAACTATTTGGCTGGATGGTAAATGAAGCAGCCTAGGGCTTTCAAGTGTTTTATTCCCGTTGAGTTGTTAATTGTATATCTAGATTAAAATATAAAATATAGGAAAAGAACTTTTTTGTATAGCTGTGTTTACAGGTGTTACAAATGATGTGATCATTCTCTAAGATGACTAAATTATGTAATGTCTGAAAGTGGTGCTGTACTCAAGTTGTAGAGCACTAGCCTTGAGCTGAAGAGCTGAGGGACAGCGTTCAGGCCCAGAGTTCAAGTCCCACGACCGACAAAAAAAAAAGAAAAGAAAATTATGTAATGTCTGCTTGGCAAAAAAATTAAGGCTTTTTAAAGGGGCTAATAAAGTCTTAAAACAAGTCTTTCAAAGTGTTTATGCTATTTTATTCGGGAGAAAAAACACTATACATACAATATTAATGCAACTATGGAAAAAAACCTTCCATGCACATGAAAAAAAAATAGTTCCAGAGATCCAAAGTACTTATGATAATTTAAATCTTTTTTGTAAGTATAAACAATTCTCACCTTCTCTGCATTTCTCACAGCATCTACATAGTGAGAATTACTTTTTAAATTTGGGGGAAAAAATTCTCAAATTCATGTTTGCAGCAGTTAAAAATAGTCAAATTTCTCTCTATAAATTCTCCTGGGCATACACCAACAGGAGGCTCCTTACTGCCTGGGGTAATGGTAGCAGAGGTGAGAAGCTGTGAGCATTAGCACTGTGCTGCTTCAAAGCAACAGACTACACTGTGTGAAGGTATTATCAAAATCAAAACCCCTGGGCTGGCCAGGCATGGTAGTTCACATTGGTAATCCCCAACTACTCTGGAGGTAAAGATTGGGAGGATTACAGTTTGAGAGGCAAAAAGCCAGCAAGAACTTCCTTCTCAAGGTGGTCATGGTGGGTGGTATAGGAAGGAGGTCTCAGTCAGGGTAAAATTGTGAAACCCTATTTGAATTTAAAAAAAAAGAGAGAGAGAGAGAAAGAAAAATAACTAAAGCAAAAGAAAAAAGGTTGGAGATATGGTCCAAATGTTAGAGCACTTACCTAGCAAGTAAGAGGCCCTGAGTTCAGTGGAGGAAGAAAACCACAAAACCCAACCAGGGCAATAGCCAAGCAGTATAAAACCTCAGAGCTGGGTGCAAAGAAGCCTCCTCAAGGATGTCATATGCTGAGTGCCAGGTTCAGAAGCTCTGCTTATGGTGACACACACCTATGCAATTCTCCTATCACTTAAGATTTCCAGATTGAAAAAAAAAAAAACTTTCAAGCTTTATATACTTTAACAGATCAGTTCTATACAAAAGTTTAAAAGAAGTTCACGTACCAGATGTGGTCTGTGGGCAGCAAACAAATCACTAAACTAAAAACACTTTAGGAAACAAGATGAACTTTCAGTCAGTAAGCACACATGTTTATCTTTCCCATTAATCACTTCTCAGTACACGCTCACAAACAGCCTGATGCAAGAGGCAGGAAATAAAAGCACATGACACTCACCCACTGAAACAAACCAGTCAAGAGGCAATTAGGACCCAGGTATTCCAACTTGGCCCCAAAGCCAGGCAAGCCAGGAAGAGCAAGAATGTCATATTCCAAAGAAAGCATAGTAGAAAAACAAAAGGCATATTTTTTGTTCACTTCAGCCACTGAATGGCATCACAGGTACACACAGATGAACAGGACTCTGCTGGAGTCCAGTAGTCTACCAGAAACAAGATATGGAAGCTAATGAGACCTGAATTCCTGTTTGTAACCTATCTGTGCTGAATAGCGTTCGCTTGGTCTCATAGATGCATCTTCAGTTGCAATTTCCCTGGTTTTCTAAAGCTTATCCATTGGTCACCTGACTGAGGCCTCAGATCTCAAAATGCGCCCTGTACCATAGGATACTGGGTTATCAGGAAGAAATATGATTCCTGGGCCAAATGCATCAGTGTGTAAGAACCATGCTTATTTTCTAGTCTTAGGAAGAGTAGGATGACTTTATAGTGGCCTTAGAATTCTCCCACTACTCAGTATAACAGTGCCAGTATAGCAGGGTACTTGGACAAGCCTCTGCAAAGGTGTGAGTCAGGTAAAATCCAACTAGTAGAACACCTCTAACTGAGATAAGCAAACAGCAGCTCAGCTTCTAAATCCAACAATCACCTATACTTTTTTGGGGGCGGGGGAGGAGGCTGGTATTGGGGTTTGAACTCAGGGCCTTGCACTAACTCAGAAGGCATTCTACTACTTGACCCAAGCCCCCACTCCTTTTTCACTTTAGTTACACATACACTTAAAAGAGTCCATATTAACAAAGGTCAAAGACAGAAGCATTGTTGGAAATCCAGCAAAACAAAAACATCATCACTTTAAAAAATGAAAAAGAAGATTAATAGAAAAAAAGGTGTTTTTGATTTAAAAATGGGAATTGGTATCGGACAAGCTTTTTGCTTTAAAGAAAAGTTTTCAGCCGTGTGAAAAGAAACACTGAGCAAACTATAGGGCTGTAATCAAATACTTCTGCCAAATAAGTCACTCTATCTATATGGAACTTGATAAGCATAAAAGCCAACCTCAGCCAAACTGTTTCACTTTTAAGGAAAAATGAGGGAGGGGAAGTTCCTTCACTAGTATAAAAATGGTGTTATTCAAGGTAAAGGGTAGGTTATCGCATAAAGCTATGGGAAAATATAGCTGAAATCAATATCCTGGTCTTCCAAGATTAACTTGAGAAGAAACCAACATGCTCACTGTTGTTCTAGGAGGAACAGCCACTGGATTCCACCCCCGATGTCCAGCCCCAGCCTGCACAAGCTTTCTGCTCAGAAAAACCAACATCCTGGGTGAGGTTCAGTGATACTGCACGTGTGCTACACTAATCTTAATTCTCCTTGTTAACCTCAGACCACAATGACAAAATAGATGTCCATATCTTTGCTTTGTCCTGGTTCCTAAGGAGGAAAATTGTAATATTTCTACCTCCAAAAGAAGTAAGATGTGTCCCCACTCCTTATTCTAACATCTGGAGGGACATTTCTAGGTTCCATCCCCAGCCTCTCTTTTCTCTTAGGGTGTATAACACTTACCTTAACTACAACGTAGGGGGATTCCAGGTCGCACCTCAAGCTTGTCTCACTGGATCCACTGGACATATTCATTATTTCCTATTAGAACTTTAGCCTCTGATATCTAAGTCACTCCCTCCATCTTTTACCCCAAACTTCCTTCTGCTGTTGGCTACTCTACTGTGTTAACAGAAACACCAGAAGACAGCCAGACTCCAACTACCCCGCTAATAACCATTTCTCCCTAACACACCTGTTTGTCACAAACTGTGTGGTCGGTCTCTACAATGGTCATCTTTCTGCTTCCTACCCCTGGGACTCCTTCGACTTCACTAAAATCCTTTGTCTTTCAAGCTCTCCCTTTTCTCCTAATCTATGCAGCCTTGGAGATGAGACAAACCCAGGCTTACATCGTAGTTCTGCCAATGTCCATCTAAGTTACTTTGGCAAAATTATTTAATCTCTCTAAACCTCTATTTCCTCACATTAGGGGAAAACCAGAGATAATACCATTTTCACAGAGCAACTCTATGTGGATTAAAAAAGGATTAAATGTGTCTCAAGACTTGGACTTGGTACCTTGATATAGCCAAGACTGATCCTTCTAAAGACTTAAATCAGATTAAGCTTGTGTCACTCAACATTCTTTAGTGCCTCCTTATCTCACATGTCAAATGCCAACCTTCCTAGAATGGCCTACAATTCCCACCCAAACCCTCCCACTATTTCTTCCCTACTCTGCCAGCCATGCTGGGCTACTTACTGTATTCCTCAAAATCCTGCCACGCCTGCTCCTACTATGGGACTTTTGCCATTCTAGCTACCTTGTCTTTGACCAAATGTTACCATCTCAGAGACCACTCCTATCCCAGGGTTTCCAATCCTCTGCTTGGTTT